TTTTATTTTTTTAAATATTCTTCACTGTTTGAAAACACGCATTCCAAAAGGCATGTATCAGTGAACAGGAAGAAACAACAATTTTGTTTACATTTTTATCATAGTTTTCAGTATGTTTCACTGTTAAATTCACGCTAAGGCATTGTGAGATATACAAACAGCAAACAATTGTTTTATAAAAGACCAATTGAAACATGAAAAGATTTAAAGTTCATTTATCTTACAGAGGCAGTCACGTACATATCATTTTTAACTATTGTGCCATCAATATTTTTTTCAAATCATGACATTTGACCACCTTTTTTGTTTTGATTTAATTTAAACGGAATAGGTTTGTTTAAATCAAATATAAAGCACATAATAAGACGAATATGTTGCGTGGAAAGCGTTTTTATCTATTCTGTAAATGATATTGAGAATGCATGTAGTGTAAAAAAATAATGGTGGGTATTTCTGTTGAAGTACAAAAAGGTAGAAATGTTAAGAGAATCATGCCAACTCTATAATATATTTAATACAAAGTATAAATTTAAATGCTATTCAAAACCATCAAAAGCTATAATATACATCATATGAAATAACATAAAAATGTCCGCAAAACATGATTGTTTAAGGATGTTTTCGGATGTTTTCATATAAACATATAGGCAAAATTAAATCTGTTCAATAACATTTTTGGCATGTTGTTAGAATATGATAATAGAAACATTTTAAGCAAACAAAAATTGGGGTCACCGTTCCACTTCTGAGTTATCTACCCTTGAATCAGTATGTTTACTTATTTGTGGTCATTTCAAGGGCAGGGAACTTATATGTATGACTTAAAAATATTGCTTTTACTTTTGGACTATGTTTTCATTTTTACTGTAGATCACAATAAAAAACAAGAAAAGCATTGATGCAAAGCATCAAAGGGCGTCCAAGCAAGAAATACAGCAAGTGAAGATGAACTAGTAGACATCTGATGACCAGATATTCTTATAAACTTTTCAATGGTTAATTGGTTTTAAGTTATCAGTATTGTATATCATTTATGAATGGGCGGACGAAATACATTATTCATCATGAACTTTGGTAAGCATGCTAGAGATTTGAATATTAAATGATTTTTCCACAGGAACTTTAATTCTATCAATATTAACGATAATATCCAAAACATACAGGTCTATAATATCCAAAATATACCCCCTAGATGGTATAAGGTTATTTATTCTCTATAGGGGGTGTTTTTGGATATTATCATTAATATTGGTTATTTGATAGAATTTCAAGTTTATGTGGTATTTTCTTTGGAACATACAAAATAATAGTCGAAATGAACAAAGTCTGTTAATTGATTTATTTGGGAGGCCAATCTACGGTTTTAATTAATTACTTCAAAAACCTCGTCTGACCCATCAGTGTGTTTACATTCCTGTCAATAAACCCATAACAAATAATGTTAAAATTGCAGACGAAAAATGAATATACAATGATATAACAATTCGTGCATTTAATTGTTGATATATGTTTGCATTTCTTTTCCTGCAAAATTCTCCAGTTCGTTATTTATTACCATAGCGCGACAGGAAAATGACCGTTTCGGTAAACTAAAACTACTTTTATATGTAGATTTTCGGACTTTCACAATGTTAAGGTCATCGTTCTATTTATTGGTAAAGCAATAACACACATAATAACTCACTGTGTACTACAAAATGATTAAATTAAAAAACCGAAGAGAGCGATTAATTGACGGATAAGATAATATCATTTGAATATGTTTACATTGCGAAATTATCCAGTTCGCTATTCATTGTACATATCGCAGCATTTCAATTTTGATTATCAAACGTACTCATACCAATCGGAATGTTCGGCAATTATGCCCGACGAAAAGGCCCGAGAAGTTGCAATTGCCCTTTCACAAAATCTGATTTAATTCCATAAGGGGCGTCGCGCTTCGGTGCGGACGCCAATAACAGGTAATTCCATATATTATTCCTGTTAAAAAATAAAATATTTAAGTTTGAATAAACAGACTTAAAAGTCTTTAAAAAAAGGCCCCTACCGGTTAGAACCCCAGCAACATTTTTGAACGGTCATTGGTCATTGAATTATGCCATTGAATGAATAAATGAATGAATGAATGAATGAATGGTTGAATGAATGAATTAATGATTGAATGAATGAATGAATGACATGACATGAATGAACTGAAATCTTTTGAGTTCTTAGTTTGTCTGTATCTTAGTAATGTGTTAAGTTTCCCTGCCTAGTAAGGAAATTACTAGAATGAAAATTATTACCCTATTTTTATGTTTTTATGAGATATGTCAAGGTTGCCATCACTAATGTACCTACTATATATTTTAGTAGGGTATAAACAACAGATAATCAAAAATCCAATTTCTCAGGATAAATACGTATATAACGTTATTTATTACATGCGTTTCGGTGTTTTATAGAAATATATCAGTTAGTTATAAACTGGTAATTTCATTGTTTGAAACAGTGACATTAACAATTTGATAATTGTATGTTGTATTATTATTTGGCGGGCTTTTTATTTAGTACTAGGTTTAAATGTCTTTTTAAACATTTCGTGCATATAATAAAAAAAATTGTTACGATTAGTGTAAGATCGAAATATATTTCACCTCATGAACACCAAAAGTTCATAATTATTTCACTCGTGACTGCTCCGTTCGTGAAATATACCTTTTGGTGCTCACTCGGTGAAATATATTCCGATCGTATACTGAACTGAACAAATATCCTCTATATATACAATGTTTCAACTTTTCTCTATTTTAAGTAAATTTGTTGGAAAAGTTCTTTAAAAGTGATCTCAGAAAACCGTTTTTAGAAATGAAAGAAAGATGGACCGAGAGACACACTGAAGGCAAATCTTTTAAATAGTCCTGGTTATAACCAGAATATAACATTTTTAAAAGCACAATTCTTAAATCAAAAAGGAGATAACTCTTGAAGTACAGTTGCTAGACTTATAAACATTGCCATACATGATGTTAGTGTAACAAAGAACAATTAACTAAAGTTTAAAGAACATACCATTTATAGTCTCAAAAAAGAAAAGTGAAAAATAACAACTTTCAAATATATTTCCATTTATGTTTTTTTTTAAGTTTAAGTAAGAGATAATTCTTGAAATATGGACGCTAGATTTATAACCCTTGTCATATTGTTATGATGTGAGTTTGAAGTAAATCCGATAAGAAATAAACACTGCGGATGATCACGTGACCAAAACCGTTCAATGGGCTCATAAAATGGCGGTTAAACGCTCGGTTTAAGGTAAGCATACAGTTAACGTTAAATTGATATGTAAAACTAGGCTGCACGGAACCCCTGTATAAAAACCACGTGCTGTTCTGTTATTGGTTACCGTACTTTGAAGCTCTCTCTGTTTAAGCTTGAAAGTCGAAAAAGTTGTTTTGGTTGATGAGTACAATGGACGAACAGGTACTAAAATGCGTTGTTTTCAGAAAAAGAAACGCATTTTGAGCAAAATTAGCAATGGCATCTTGTGCACAATTGCAAGTTTACCGGTCATGAACAATTGTCTGTCTTATTTCGTCAATTTGTTTCATTTAATTATGCTTGTTTCCCGCTTCCTGTCTTTGAAATCATACAAATATAATATTTTATTTTTCTTTCAAGCAAATCTAAGATTCAAATATGAAACTTTCTGTTTCATTACAAACAATTGATACTGAAATGAATGTTAAATTGTTAGAACCTATTTATAACCTTGATATCTTTCGTGTTTGTTTTTTCGATAGGCTTTCGTTTCGTTTTGTTCAGGTTATTATGAAAGGTGTAAACATTCCATTTGATCCATTAGTCATACTAAATATTTTACTATAATACATATTTTTTCTCACCAAATTGTAACTATATATTACTATTATCCTAAAAATGTAATATAGGCGTTTTCCATTATGTATTTGTATATGTTTATATATGTATTCTGCTGATGTTTCCCGCTATTGTAGGACTTGTGCATTTTGTAAATAAATTGAAATTGAAAGTGAAAAGTAGGAAGAAGTATTAAATTAAAAGAATTCATTTAGCTTGCTATAAATTCTCATCTTAAAAGTATTCTGCTTTGATAACACACGTGTACATCAGCTTAAAAGTATTTACAATACAAAAATAAAATAAAAACATGTTTTTTATATATTTTTTTCTTAATGTAGTTAATAATGAATTAATGTGGTACATTGACTTTAAGTAAACAAACCCCTGCTCTATATTTCATTTCATAGTTTAGAAGATATTTGTATTTTTTCTTTCCTCTTAAGTATTTTTTGTTCTGTTCTTTTCCGATCAAATGAGGCGAAGGGAAAATGCCCTAAACGCAATCGCTGTATACTCGGTGTCCTGCAAGATGAATTGTAGTATATCAAGATAACCTAACGCAGGAAAATACATACATATATATTGTACAATTTAGAGCATAGAATCACTTTATTACATGCTTTTCGGTGGTTTATAGAAATATATCAGTGAAATAAAACTAGTAATTTCACTGTAAGAAACAGTGAAATTACCACTTTGATAATTTCACTGTTTTGAATTTAAGCCCCTTACGTTGTTTCAGTGAAATACAAGCGTACACAGTACTGGGTACCAACTTAATGACGTGACGTCGTAAATGCCGTCACGTTGTATTATAATTTGGCGCGCTTTCTATTCAGTATTAAGTTTAATGTCTTTTTAAAACGTTTCTTTGCATGTAATAAAAAGAAAATTTGTTTAGTTTAGTGTAAAATCGAAATATATTTCACCTTGTGAACACTAAAAGTTCATATTTCACTCGTGAAATATACCTTTTGGTGCTCACTCGGTGAAATATATTCCGATCTTACACTGAATTAAACAAATATCCTCTATTTAATACCACAGTGCTTACAGCCCTTTGATTAAATTACTGTGTCAGCATATTACAAGAAAAATACAGCATCACGTGGTATATATAGCATCAATATAGCCAATTTCTGCAGTGTGAAGTACAGCAGACGACATTTTACATAGACTGAGAAATATGGAACATCTTTTGGGCTTTATTCTGGTATGTTTTCACATTTATTAAATTTCAATATGTCTGTTTGTTCCTTGAGAATTTATGTTTTCACATTTATTAAATTTCAAAATGTCTGTTTGTTCTTTGAGAATTATCTAAAAAGCCTATAATTATTATTTATTTAACCCTAATCATTTTTTTTTTTTGAAATCTTTATTTAGTGTATGTTTCAATGTGAATATTCCACAAAATATGTGTATATCAAAAAACGACCCCAAATCCTTTTACAACCGCATGCTTAGTTCAAGACAAAATTTTTTTTTTATATTAAAATTGTCATACACAATTGATGCGTTGTAGTTTAACCAAAAATATTTGTATTAACCGTGAAATTTACAGAATGATTCTTTGAACAAATAGTATCAAGGATATGCAGTGTCACCAAATACATATTTATATTAAACGTAACAAATTTAATAAGTATATAAGTGAATCATGGACTAATGCATTTTTAAGAATACAGCGTAAGCATAATAACAAAACAAAACATAAGTTGTCTGACACTTAAAAATCATTACATTTTTGAAAGTATCATTTCAAAATCATTTTTTTTTCAACGGCGTCTTTGATTAAAACATACGCTTACATAACTTCAACGATAATCTTTTAGGGTGAAACAAAACACAAAAGAAAATTATTGCTGGTATAATTCTGATATATTTAGTATTATTTACCATAAGTTAATTTGTAGCGTGTCATATCATTTTGATTTACTTTCTTAAATTTTTCAACGTTTTACTGTAATATATAGGTTATGGACGCTTACGTTACCGTTTTTTTAAAGAAATAATCCAAATTTATATATAATATAGGGACAATCAGGTCCGAAAACCATAAAAATAATCTACTGTCTCAGGATGATAATTTGGTCTTAACGGTACATGGAAAAGTCCAAAAACGGGGTTTTCTGGATTATTATCCGATATCGTAAAAGTAAACTCTTACATATACTATATAGCATTATTCTTACAGTATCAATTGTATATTACCGTTATGGCTCTGCCGGTAGATCGAAGACATTGTAACTTTTAATATTTTGAACTCATAGGTTCGAACCCAACGTAGTGCCATTTTATAACCACAGTTTTTTCTTCTTTATCTGTTTTTTATTATTATTATTATTTATTTATTTTTCGTTTTCCTTTTTGATTTCTTCTTATAATATATATTTTATAGTATATATTTTTTTATTTCTATTCTATTTTCTTTTTGTATTTTTTGATCGCAGAGTAATAAAATATTCGATCTCATATTAATGTAATAAACTATGTATACGAATTTTTTTTTGAACAATTGACTGCTCTGAGGTAAAAAAATGTGTCTTACCAGTAGTCGAACTTCTGCCTGTACGGGTAAAACACATTACTGACACGGTTGCTCTACCTACTGCGCTAACAAGACATATGATAACATGTAGTTTAATTTTCATTTTTATAGGTTGTGGCATTGATCTGCCTAACCTATTTTTTGCATTGTTATTGGTCTTTGTTATGTAAACAAAGGCTCAAGTTATCATCCTAGGACAGTACAATTATTCTTTTATCAGTTAAGTACAATTATTCTTTTATCAGTTAATCTCCTTAATTATTTTCTTCAGCATTTTAAACTGTTTTTGTTAACGAAGAAAAAATATACATAATTATTATCAAACAGAGTAAATATCATATTTAATTATTAAATCGGGATGAAAGTTGGAAGTAATTTTTTGAAATTATATTTTCTAACGTTTTTTATTATTATCATTATTATTATTTGTACAATATTTAATGATTAGTATTATCATAATAGCTTAATTATATTTTTCATGATTAAAAAAAAGGATGCATCTAAGATAGCTAGTTGTACATTTATATAACATTGATAACACTGATACTTATTTTAGCAAAATTGTCATGATCTCAAGGGAAACAACTCCTACTATTTTAATATCGATGCTCATTTATGAGTTGTACCTCTTGTCATGAACACTTAATGCATAGGAAAAATTAAAAAAAAGACCGAAGGTCTAAACTCTCGATTAGGCAGCAATGAGACATATTTGCCCTATACACTGTCAAACTGTAAAACTTTTTTTTTTGCATTATATAATTGTGTTTTCAAAAGTTGAGCGACACAACTTTTAAAAAGTTGAACGCTTGGAACAGAGTTTTTTTTAAAATTTGCATTGATAAAGAGTATACATTCCAAACAAAATTCAATTCAATGTTGCATTATTTAAGTGTTGATTGCCTAGAATATTTATTTTTTGTGTGTAAGATGTTTTATTTCATCTCGTGAACTTCAAAAACAGTATTCTCACGAGTGGCGTAGGCATTGTCACACCGCACTTTGGGGTCAAACGCACTTTGGGGTTCGACCCCAAAGTGCGTTACGTACTTTGGGGTCCGACCCGATAGTGCGTAACGCACTTTGGGGTCCAATTTCGACCCCAAAGTGCGTTAAACAGGTACATATGCATTTTTTAACATCAGGCAAACGACCGCACTTTGGGGTCATAGAAAATGAATGTTCATTATGTTTTAAATAATATATTGTAGTCAAAGCCAATGGTAAACAAAAAATCAGGGTATTAAATAGACGCAAAACATATGCCCTGAATTATAGTAGAATCAACAGGGATTTAAATGGTCTTGATCAGTAAGTGAAGAACTTTCACCAAATAAATCATCAAATAAAAAATTTGTATCAATTATTAAGCTTAACATATTTTTTTCTCAAATTTTCCATTTATTTTAAAAGAATGTACACCTTTCATTAACTCCATTGTTTTTAGCTAAATGCATTATTTTCCCGTTTTTTATTTACACATTTTATAGAAATATGATAGTCTTTGCATAGACAAAGGTATATAAATTCTGTGTAATCTAAGTAAGACGTTTCAGTAACAAATGTGTGTCTGATAATATGTTGAAAGAGCCATTTATTTAGCTAGGTGTAAATGCGGCTTTAAGTAGTAGTTCGTACAGGCAGTACTAAAAATATCAACTATTTAAGTAGTCGCACATTAAGAGCGGAGCTTCAGAATAATGTAAAATTCTCAGTGGGGATATAGAGGGGATTGTGGGGTATCGATCCCCCGAGGGTTAAAAATAACGTTTTAAAGGCCCATTATGCTTTTTTTATTTTTCTTAAAAGCCTAAAAATACACATTGGCCAATTACTTGAACCATCTTTTTCACCTGTTGCTTTTTGGCAATGATGAGTTCAGTTATAGTGAATTAGTATGTTATATGGAAGTCAAATACTACATTGTTTTGACTACTTTTATGACAAAAAATTTCACATTTCATTTATCGCTACTTTATTCAGGTAACAAGCATCTTACATTTCTCTGATATCATTATTTTAACATTAATAAATTCATGTTTGCTCTTTCTAAAGAAGTATGGAAGGTTTCCCATAAAACAGCCTATTTATAGTCCGATCGAAAAACTTGATGTTTCACCAGATCATTGCAATAGAGTATACTTATAGTTCTTTGGAAAACAAATATTAACTGCATTTTATTTCATTCCCAACATATTTAAAATGGGGCTCAACATGGCACCATACATAATTTATTTTAGTTTTTTGTACATATGTTATTTTTTATTTTTCGTTCATATTTTGTACATGACGCCATTTGTAAAACACCATTTTTAAACACTTCGCCATCTGTAAATTACAGTACCCCATTTGCAAATGCACCAACATTTTCATTTTTTTGGAGGTATCAAAAAAAAGAACAACACTTTTTAGTATAAATATATTCTGCATATGGTCTCGATGTGGTTAACATTTGAAACAAGGTGCCTTAAAATCCTTCATGAGGTTGAGAAGAATGAAACCCAAGTCTTAATCCGAGATTTCGGTTTCCGTTTCCGGTAACAACATTCAAATTTTTCGAGCGGATAAAAAAATGATAAAAAACATGTAATTTCTCACGCATCCAAGAAGATTTTGCGAGTATGAGATACAGGTAATCTAAAAAGATGAACTATTGATGAAATCCATGATATATGAAGCAGAAAAGTGATTTACATGGAAGTAAACACCTATGAGTTGTACCGGATATTTACCTGATATTTACCTGATATTTACCTGTCATTGACTACTAGACAAAACCTATATGAACTCCGATAAATAAGCACCGTACATATAGATATATCACAACAATTGTTAAAATTATGTTACATTATGGGAAAAAAGAGAAGTGAAGAAAGAAAGATTCAGGTAAAAGGTCAAAGGTCATCCTCAAATAAACGTAAAGTGTTGTCTCCAGGTCAAGAAAATTCAACTGAGAAAAAGCCTAAACACACAGATACTGAATCTGTTGCTGATAGTGAAGGTAGTGTAGGTAGTGCATGGTGTGATATTGAAGATTCTGACTATAAATTGAATGAACTAAATTTTGACCTGAACATGACTGACTCTCACAATATAACATTTGGTGATAACCAGTTCGTACTTAATCCATCACAACATTGCAACACTCTCAACTCCACCGTGCTGAACACAGGTCAACCTATGGCGGTCCCACAACATGTACTCGGTGTGGTCCCTGGCATGCCATCGCCAATTCTGACACAACAGTCAACCCCTACTGCACTAACCGACAATGATATTTTTAGAATTGCAACAGTCCTGAAATCTATAATACACAATGAAATATCCCTAATGGTAGAGACAAAGGTAGATGAACAAACAAAACCTCTGAAAGAAGAAATATCTTTACTTAAGAAGGAAAACCAGTCCCTTCGTAAGAGTATTTCTGAAATAGAAACGAGGGTTGACAGACAGGAGCAGTATAGTAGAAAATTATGTGTAAGAATCGGCAATTACGCTTTCGAACCAGGTGAAAACACTGATCAGATCGTTCAGGATGTCGCCAATTCGTGTGAAGTAGGTATAAGCCCTGATGAAATTGATAGATCCCATCGTGTTGGTAAATCCAAAGAAAATAGGCCTAAAGAAATTATAGTTAAGTTCAAAAGTCTTGACTCTAAAGT